ACGGCTCTCCCAGCCTCCGTTGCTGGGGCCGGAGCAGAGCCGGCAGCAGCTCAGCTATGAGACAGGAGAGCAGAAATGCCCAAAGCCGGGGACAGGGAAACTGCAGGCGACAGTATGATCCTGTTTACAGGATTTAGAGACCAAGAAACAGGAGACTCAGCTTTAACTCTGAGGTCCACGACTGTTCCATCTTTTGTGATCACAGAGTATATTTAGCTCTGGTATGTAGCTTGCTCCCATCTGTGGGGAACAAGCCCTTCATGGAAGTCATATTTAGAATCGACCCAGTGTCCTTGCTACCAAATTATCAGTACAACTGTCTCGTTCCCTCACTGGTGTCCTCAGCTCGGAGGAAGGCTGGTCAGAGCGGCATTTATCACTCCAATTACTGGGCATGTGTTTAATCCTACAGAGCTAGGGACTGGTATGCCAACAGCTGCGCGAAGGAAAGATGAGGTCAAGTACAATCCGGACTGCTCGGACAGTCCAGACGTGTGCATGCACCTGCCACACTGGGACTAAGTGGCACCAGCCACACTGGAGTAGGAGAATTTTGCATCTGCCGCTCCCCAGCTCCTGCAACAAGGGGAAAGGACTTTGGTCTCTGCTGCTCTCGTGCTGGCGAGGATGCAGAGCAAATCCACCGAAGGCCATGGAATCACGCTGAGAAATCGGCACAACTCGAGTTGGGCTATAAGGACAAAGCTAGAGCCAGCTCAGCTCCATCACACGCAGGCCTGCGCCCTGACTGCCCTGGAATGGCTCACGGCATCCTTCACCCACAGCCTGTCCCTGCAGAAGGTCCAGTACTGCCTTGAGCTTGGTACAACATTGACGTAGCCAAGTGTGAGGTCACTACATCAGACCGTGCTCCCCTTCTTTACTTTTCTACAGGCCTATACTGGATGCAAAACACGAGCACATTTGAGCCCAAAGGCAAAACGGATTGTGTACCAAGCCCTTGGGTTGGATACCAGCATTTGGCACCTTGAGGTAGATGTTCAATGAAATTCACAGAGCCATCTGATCTGCTTATAAATACATGTCTGCTCTTGAAAAAGAGAAAAGGAAAAAAAAAAAAAGGACCTCTTTCTGACTGGCAAGCATTTGGTCTGAATAGCAGTAATCATGCCCAAGATCTAGCAGCTGAAGCCATTTGGAAAATGGATTTGAATGTTTCTTAGGAAATCCCCCCCCAAAAGATGCTTTCATGTTACTGGCACAGGATAAACAACAGGTGCCTGGTGCCATCCCCACGGGAACAGCCTGGGGTCCCGCAGCGGGCCAGCTTTGGGCAAGTGGTGCAGTAGGAAGTCAGAGCCCGGGGGGAGGTGGGGGGCCCAGCTGAGAGAGGCCAAGCAGGGCAAGGCCTGCGTGTGCCATTTTATAACCATAACCACAGAAAAGATGAAAGTTTGTTTCCTTTTATTTTTAACCCGATAGAGAAGTTTTAAGGATAAACAGCTGCAAGGGAGGGTAGGCTGACACAAAGAGGGACTTTCTTCACTTCCTAACTGCAGCAGCATCAATGCGTGAAATTTCAGACTCAGAGATTTAACGCTTTCCGATGCTACCCGAGACCAAATGCAGCTCAGAGTCAGGGGGTCACCAAAATTAGCAACTACACAAGGATGGGCTGCAGGGTCTCCGGAGCAGCAACATCCAGCATGCAGATATGGAAAGAGCTGGATGCTGCTGGAGACAGCTATACACTCCCAAGAGCTCAGTCATTAGTCACTGGTAGATCTCCCACACAGATAGCTCCTTCGCTGAGGCACAGCCACAGGAATGCATCTGCTATCCGCTGCTCGCGTCCAGAGCGGCAAGCAGCAGGGAATCCCTGTGCCCTGCACAGACTCAAACCTGCCTCGAGCACCAGAGTCCCTGCGGAGAGGACCTAGAGGGGGGCATCGAGCAGCTCTGCCATGTCACCATGTACTCCGGGCCAAGCACTCTACATGGTTGCTCCTAGCAGCTTCCACAAAGTTTCATGTGTTTCTCAAAATTTCTTAGAAGGGGCACTGCTGCAAGAAGAGTCAGCTCCATTTGGGAAGAGGGGGTCTTGTCCTTCCCTGGTGCCGTAAGCGCAGCTCTGTGCTGGCCGGTAGCTGCAGGGACACACTGCGGCACTGCCATCTGCCTCCAAGCAAAGCGCAGTCTGTGAACTCAAGGATAAGCCCCCGAGGCCTAAGGCTGCTTCCCTAAACGCAGAAGACGGATCTGGGTCTCCTCACACGGACGCATCCTTTGCCTTGCATTACTGTTAAGATCTCCGGTTACGGCAACCCAGAGACCACTTTTCAAAGCAGGATTTACTACCGACTCCATGCTGTCTGCTGTGCCCCTGCCAGGACAAGAGGAGGGAGGAGACATGCTCCTCACGGTTTCTCTTTCTGTTCCGCATAACCCCCAGCAATATTTACAGCTACATTTGGGTGCCTGGGGCTGGGGGGGACAGCCTTCAGTTTATAAATATGCCTTCTGATGTTTGGGTAATTTTCATAGTTTCCACCCGCTTCAGGTTTCACCAAAACCTGCACTCTGTGGCTTGACAGCTGGAACATGACTGGCTGGCTTTCTCAATTACTTAACTGACTAGCAGTTAATAGGTTGTTCATTCATTGCTTCCTTGCCGAGTCCAGCTTGCACACCTAATACCCTGTTTGCCATAACAATCGTCTTTTGGAAACCACATCCCAACCCCTGGGCACAAACACTCCGCAGAGGCGGGAACCGGGCAGCGTCTTACACTGTGGGCAAAGCAGGCAAGACACTGAGCTTCATTTGGGGAAGGTCAGGATCTGCTCCACACGGTGCGGAGCAAATGGACAACAGCAATTTGATGAAGCTTCCAAAGACAGACAGACCCTGATAAACTCTCATCTATCCTCAAATCCCACAGAGAGCCAAGGAAATTGCGGGTTCAAGGGAATGCAAGAGTGGAGCCCAGCAGGCTTTTAATTTTGTTGGTCTACGGGTGAGACAAAGAGGGAACTGGCAGCCGAGTGCTGTTGCTTGACTGAGCACCTGATGCTTTGCTCAGAAGCCAGAGCAGCCCCAGTCACCGTGCTCAGGTAAATGCTTCCCTTTCCGCCAAACCCACATTTTCAGTGACTCTACTGCAACAATCACCAAATGAAACAAAATGCTTGTTTACTGATGCTTGCAAATAATGATATATAATCCCCTTCCTTCAAGCCTCCAGTCTCCTGGATCCTGTCTCTTGGCAACTGATAAATAATTTATCGTGCTGTCTGCTGTAAGTGCTAGCTGCAGCTCTGCTGTTAAATGATGAATCCAATGCCTAGGAACTGGAACAGTAACTGTCTGGATCACAAGGAACACGTAGTCAGTTGATCCCACACTCCTCTGTATGTGACACCAGAAGCAAACTGCTCAGATAGGAAAAACCTACGTTTCCCAGAGCTGCAGCTCCTGGGTAGGAACGGCACCCGCAGGAACAGCGGATTACCTGCGAGAGGAACAGGCGTGCGCTAGCACTCGCCAACACGAGGAGTTTAACGTGCTTCACCACTTTGCACTTCTCTGCTAGCACGTGTGGAAAAGCTCAGAACAGGCTGGTTTCATCATCAACTTCTCTTGTGCAGTCCTGCGCGACCTGGAAAGGCTCCAGTGTTCACATCTCGAAGGTGCTGCCGCTGCCTGCTCTGGGAGCTAAAGCCAGTAACTCCCGGAGAGGGAGAGAGATTAAAAAGCAGCATCTTGTCTATGCAGACTACGGTGGCTCTCGCACCAAAAAAAAAAAAAAAAAAAAATCATCTCTTCGTTTCATGACAGATGTTGTTCGAGTCTTTCCAACGGAGCCGTAACCACTTACGACGACCAGCATGTTTGAACCGTACACAACACACGTACGTTGGGTGTGCACTATTGTGGCAACACAGCCTCTTACATCCATAAACTCACTGGAATGAGATTACCCAGGCAGTTGGCAACTGCATCCAGGAGGGCAGAGGAGGGAAAGTTTCGGTATTGTTGTTAGCAAATTTTTTTTTTTAAAAAAAAAAAAATCAAAACAAAACAAGAAAACCCCACCGAAACAACACCTCCAAAAAATCATGAGCGGAGAGGAGTAAAGGGATGAAGTATTTCTGCTGACAAAAGCCAAAATCCCATCTATTCATATAGTCACACAAAAACCACAACAGAGCAGTGCTCAAAAGCTTTTTTAAAAAAAATGCACCTACTTTCTTAATGCTCTTAGAAAATAATAATAAAAAACCCTATCAATATTCACTTTCTGAAGTGGTGTAAAAAAAAGAACTGCATCAATCATTAAACAGTTAAATGAAGGCAGTATGACAGTCACTATTGTTCTCGTGAAGCACACTTGTCTTTTGCCGAGCAGCTGCCAGATCCTATTAGATGTATAAAAAGAGGACTTTTCTAACCGAGTAGGGATGGTATAAGCTATTGAAAATAGCAGACAAAAGCCCACTTTTGCAGACTATTCAAGCCTTGTATAACATCTGTCCAAAATCAATTTTTGACCTAATGTTACTTTCATTAAGTAACAGACTTTGTTTCCAATGCAATTTGTTTTCTAGGATAAAACTGTATCCTAAGCATTATTACGTGGGAAACTGCACAGAAGAAGCAGAAGATCTTATTTGAGAAACATGAGAACAGAATTTGCTTAATTGTTTTGACACCTTAAGTACTATAATAGAGAAACTATTTTCCATTTATTTAAATTCTTGTGAATTTTTGAAGTTGGCAAAGCAAGAAGCAACGCACTGGGTTTATTATGACTAAGATTTACTGAGGATAAAGGAGGATCTTTGGGAATTACATTAAAGCTGACAAATGCACAAAACTTCTGAAATCTTCACCAGAAATTAAGTACTCCAAACGTTAACAACAGCTGTTGAAACTGCCCACTATTGACAGCTAAGGCTTTTTTCATACATTTTAAATAAGGAGGAAGTTGATTCATGAATTTGATTTCAAACGGACCGTTACGAAACATTCCCACTTACCCAAAGGGTCTCTGAATGAAGGCTGGATGTAGCTGCTGCACACCTATGGTAAAACCTAAAAAATCATTTGGAAAAAAAGAAATATCAATAGAGTGGCATCCATTGTACTACTCAACTTATACTATACATGCAGAATTACACCTCTGACCACACGCACGTGCATTTTATCTGCTATGCATGTGCGCAAACCGAGAGCCCCATTTAGAAGCAAGTGACTTTTAATATGCTACGCGATGTGCGGGAGGACCAGATAGGAATTCAAATCTAAGAACAGCATGAAAGTGCTGTTACTGTACAGACAACGGGATGTAACGCCTTGTTTTACACATGTGGTACTCTGGCCATTAAACCAAAGCGCAGAAGGATGAAATGGATTTTACTGTTCATGTAACGATGAGGATAACAGGAAAACAAGATCAGCCATAGCAGAAGATTGCTTTAACTCAGTTCTACGAACTTAAGCACACGTAACACTAGTGTGAGAGGTACGAGTAAGAAGATACGGATGAGAGGACCACGCAGTGTCCTCAACCAACAATCAGAACTCCGAGGGACAAGCAGATCAGACGAATCCAGCCCGAGTAACTTATTTCCTCATCTTACAAGTTATTCTAATAGGGAGAGACGGGATTTCCTGGATGCCTCACCAGTTTGAATACTCCTGGGTTTTGCTCCCAAATACGCCAGGTTCACGTTTGCTTTCCGGCCATCAATGATGGGGTTCGGGTCTTTGCACGCTCTTTCAGCAGCAGCTCTGTCTGCCATGGTCACCTGGAACCAAGCACAGCCTTGTTGGTGGCAGCAGCACCGTGTGAGCACTCCGGCAACGGGCGCTGAGCCGAGTTTATTTCTCGCTCTGCTCTGAAGCAGCCTCGCTCCGTGCCGCCTCACCCGCGCGGATGGGCTCCGGGACCTGAGCGAAAAGAGAGCTCCCCCCACGCTGGGCTCCCGCCAGTTCTTTTTCCGTGGCTTTCCCACCTCCCCCCTCGTGCTTTTTTAAGCAGCTGGCGGCGCCAACCCCCGAACTCCCCGAGGCAGAGGGAGCTGGGGGG